CACACACACACACACACACACACACACACACACACACACACACACACACACGTACACATTAATTAATATTATAAATATATTTTTTTTAATTTTAAGTATGAATGTATACTAATTCAATTGCAAAGAACAGATTCCGGTTTTACGTTAAACTTACCAATTGGATTGTTTTTATCAATTAATGAGTTTACTGCACAACTAGGCCCAAAGAATTTAATCGTTGATTTTACATGATTATTACAGTCAATAACTTCCATTCCTCCTTTCTTCATAAGCTGATAAAAATACATTTTATTGTATATAAGTGTGTTAAAAATTTTTACATTTAGATACTTTATGTCATAATTTATAAATTTTACTCACACTATTAATGGGAATAACCCAACCTGCTAGTGTCCCAACACCAGCAAAACAGCCCTTCTTGCCTCTGAGATCATACAAAGACTGTACATCAGGCAGAGAGCCTTTTTTAATCACTGCGACAGCATATTGATAATTTACACCACTTTCATATATTTCTTGCATTATTGGTACAAGACTGTGATATCGTCCAGCTATAAAGACCTCTCCAGCGTCTAATGTTGTTATTTGAGCCATCTCGTGGTCCAGCATGGACATACATTCTTCTTTGTTGAAAGCTTGCTTGCATTGCACCGAAAAATAATCATAGCCAAAAGATCCTCTTTCACGATCAATTGCCCTGGAAAAGGCCTGACATTTGTTCTGCTCGCCTTCGGAGACTGTACACCATGTAAGTGTATTGTTGATGTTTTGGCCTATCAATTAATACATACAATAATTATAATGAATTAATACAGTAACAAGCAATTAAATAATAAATGACATAGCGCATTCTGCATTTCAACATTCTATAGATCTGTTCTTTGTGGCTGAACTAATATATACTTATATTTAAAATGAAATAGATATGTAAATACTTAAAGTTGATGAAATAAGTTTTTCAGTGCAGTCCAGTGTAAAGAACAGATCTCAGGTACTTCCCATATTATAAATAAAGTTGGCTTGCAAGTTGGTGCAAGTATCATAATGAAACGAAAGACAATCAGATTAAAGGTACCTTAATTAGATATATATACATATATCTATAATCTGTATATAAGTATGATTATTTTAGAAATAAATATTCGTAATTTGATGCGCATTGCGAAGTGTATGACTGTGTTCCATAATGCGATCGATTAATTTAGCTTTTGCAACGTTCATCTAAAAAAATGCATTACCGTAAATTTGATGTAACTCTAAACAGCACAAGAACAGTAATAACGCGTAATATTGGAACCACATCTTTTGCTTAAGCAAATCAATCCCACACGGACAACACCCTTGACATGACTACTCCGCCGAATCGTAACGAACTACACCCAACCCTACAACGCGGTTGACGTAATCCATTCATTGAAGGAGGATAGAATGAAGGATTCGACGCTATGGGTTTGTTCGTTTTAACTGCGCTCGCTTTGCATTTGTAGATAGAGCGTATCTTTCTCTA